GATTTATGTCTGACAATTGTTTAGTTCAGTGTAAACACTCAAAAATATATCTCCGAGAGAATTTTTTGTATGTTTACACTGGAGCAAAGTGGAGTAAACAACTGTCAGACATAAATCTCATGCAATAAATGTTAGATGTAAACGTACCTTTTACAGGACACTTTTATCTAAAGAAATATTGGGAATAAAACCAGTATTATTTCACTCAGATATATTGAAATCACCGAGTACAAGAAGATTTTTATCATATAAAGTTGTAAATATACATTTGTAGCATGGTCTTATTTTAAGGAGTAGGAAATCAATATTGGTATTTGAGGGCATTGGAACAAAAATATATCTTATATTAATCAAAATGGAATTTAGTTCCTTTCTCAGAGCACATAATATTATCACTCCACTAACTCTTGAAGAATTAGTTATTTCATATTTCCGATCAATCATGTAAACATCGAACGTAGCAAGATCTAATAGTTCTTCATCGTGAATCGTATCATTACAGCAGCTTTCTGTAGAAAAGTAACCTGCACATTGTGTAATGGCTAAAATACTTTCAAATAATTGGGTAGTTTTTATTCTAAGACCTCTGACAGTTTCAGAGTATTATATAAATTTAGAATTTGAACTATTAACATTATTTTTAGACGAATTAATTGATTGCTATTGGAACGGTACTATGTTATCTCTAAATTTTGTTTGTGTTCTCTTATAGAAGTTGCAATCTCTATCCCAAGCAACATGATCAATAGAGATAATTACGTTATGGTTAGATTTGAGATTAGTACAATTTAAACATTTCAAATTAGCAGAAGTACATTCTTTTATATATCGTGATTGAAGGCACATTTGGGACATGCAGGGTCTTTTTTATTGCGTTGATTTAATAAATGATAAAGACCCCAACAATTAAAACACCTACGTGGTTTCACGGCGCAGTAAACAGGACAATCGAAATCGAACCCAACAATCTGTTTACCAAGCTTCATAACTTGTGGTAAGTACTTGTGTCCACCTAGACGACAGCTTGGAACAGTTTGCTGTTCTTTAAATGCGCTTTACCGTATATTATTTCCGAAAAAGAATTTTGACTAAAACAGGATTTATTTTGTTGTTTAAGATAGTTCAAATTTTTCGGGCATATTGGCGATCTTGATTCGTGGATGGATAGAGGAGATATACTTCTCATTATATTTGTCACCTAGATTAGTATTGAGGATATGTTGAAATTTGAAAGTCATCTTTATTGTCATAACTAATAACCCTCCTTGGCGAGTTCCAGTGACATAGGAAACATTAATATTAGCCTTTATGAGATCGACACTTCGCAGAATTTTAGCTTTTGTTGTAGGCATGGGTTGGACTGTATTTTTCGGATGATGCACAAATTTAGATTTCAAAGCACTTATCAGCAAAAGTTGGTTCTTTGCTTTTGGAAATTTTCTCAGATATTAAATCTTTTAGGCTAGCTTCAATTGACTGGAAAGACGATTCTAATTTTAGGGTAATCTCTTTGCGAAAGTTTTCGAAGATTATAGATGTAACAACATCAGCTATTATCTTATTAATATTGTTGTTCATATCATTCACTCTTTCTTAAATTGTTTTATCGACAATATCAATTTTATTTTCACATGAATTACAAATAAAATACAGATTTCTTGATTTATGCAGCAATTGAAATTCAGCATTACTTAAAATTATGCAGTCTAGATGGAACCAATTACTACAGAAGCCTTCATAACCAAACAAATTTTCATCCCTCATTTTTTAATTTGCATTTGGCACAAGAATCAGGCATATTGCTTTGGATTTAAAAGTCACAACTTAATGTGTGCAATTGATACACGCCCAAGACTATTTTTAAGAAAAAGTAAATAGTAATTCGTGAGATTAAGGTTATCTTCATCGATAGAATAATCCAATTGTTGCAGTTAATAATGAAAATTAATCAAAGACGTACCTCCACTTCTTTAAATACATAAGATTCATAATCCCGCATTACTGGTTATCAGAAAATATTTTAAACAGAGATTCAAATAACGTTGATTTTAATATGCTGCGTTTGGATGAATCTGATATGTGTGAATTTTTTATTACGTGATTAGATTTAAATGTAGATGTAATAAACAAACGCTCTAGATGTAGTAAAAGTGACAATGACAAGTTAGAAGTTTATACTTTTTGCGTTTAACTTTTGAGACTAGAAATCAACCTCAACAAACTAAACAATCTTAAGGTACCATTTCGGTAGGCTCGACAGACGACCGCCGACGCGACAGACGACCGCCGACGCGACGGACGACCGTCGACGCGACCGAGAAGTGTCTCTTCACGTCTAAAATACATACAATTATATGAAACACATTTCGCACGTCACGATACGAGAAGTGTCGTCAAGACGACACTTCTTGACGACACTTCTGAATCTGTCTCGGGGCAAAGCGTTTGCTGCGTGTCCCCCTCGAGGTTGGAAATTTCTTTCGATGTAGGCAGTGTTGCCAGATTTTGGAGCAGTATGGGTGAAAAAAAAACCGTAGATCTGAATGGTAGATTTTAATACAGGGGGAAATAATTAAAATTTGCAGTGTAATAAATAAAAAAACAAGTATATAAGAAACGAAAAATAAACTTTTTTTCTACCCAAATTAGAAGGTAAACAAAGAATAAAAACAAATAATAACATTTTTAATATATACTTAACGTACGGAAACAAAAAAAAAACAATGACAAATAATAGGTACCTACTTCTTTTAGATCAGTCTAAATTAGGTAATTCAAAATCGTAGTGTTTGGCATATGCATGTTCTTTTTATGATGCCCTATTAATTCTTTGTTTCATTTTAAATAAAAAAAATGATTATCTTGATGTTTTTTTTTTATGGAGCCAACCTACAGTAGTGGATGCCTTATTACGCTGCTTTTACTGCAGAAAATTTACTAGAGAAAATATTCTTCAACCATTTGCTGAAGAATGAGGCAAACTTAATAAATTTAGAACAAAATTTGCTAGAGACAAAAATAGTGGATCTACGTAAAAACAGTAGGTTTGGCAACGCTGATCGTTCCCTCGAATGGTTATCCTGGTGTCTCGCGACCCGTCTCCAAGCTTTCGAAATGTACGGATCGTAACATTTATGCATCTGTCGTCCTTTGGGTCGCCTCGGTGGTCTCCTGTCTCCTGACGCGCCTACCGAAATGGTACCTTTACATTCACGCTAGCATAAACAAAGGATAAATCGATAAACTTGTAACTGAACCAACTAAAGTCGCTTCATAGAACTCCTACTTTCTGGCATGAAACGAACATCTCATTCACATAATACCATTTCAAATCGATGAAAAAAATGTAATCTGGACAGCTACATCTCGGATAAACAAACGCAGATGCGGATAAACGAACGCTCGAGATGTAAAAAATACATCGGATGTGGATATTCAAACGCAGCAATAGTTTCGCACACACAAAACAACATGTAAGATCAACTGCACATGACAATGTCACTGCTTAGCTTCCATATAAGCGAGGTGCCCATATTACATATAGGGCCCATATTTGGACTAATTCCTCTAGTTGAAAAAATTCACGTATGTCAGGCGATCAATTATTTTTGTCAGTTTGGATTTAATTCAGAGCCAATCGTAACTATCACATACATCCCTGTTATTGTCGAGGATGACATACTTTAGAGAATTTTTTTGAAGAACACTTTTTATGAGTAGATTATTACAATTGTTTCGGACAAGGCAGTTCAACTATTAACAGAATAGGTAGATACCTACTCTAATACAAATGTTGCAAAAGACATTCCAACACAGCAAAGAACTACATTTATAGACTGCAAGAGCTTCTTCGACGCAACTATATTAGTTGTTAAATTATTGAAAATTCTCAAAAAATTTAGGATCTGATGAAGATGGCTATCGAAAATGCCAAAACAATATTGCGATTTAATAAGAAACATACAATGTAGTTCAGTGTATTCAAGAAGAAATAGAAGATCGTGTAAATATGACTAGATGATGCAAAAAAATGTAAAAGGAGTTACGTGATCAGTGTGAACAACATACTGGGAAAGTAAAATGTAGTATTTAAACAAAGCTGAGGAAAATACGAAATGCTATATAAAGATACCGGATTCAAAAATGTATAAAAAAAAAAGAAAAAAATTTAAAAATCTACTCAATTCATCCAATAATATCAATTAAAAAAGCATTTCTTTAGCTAAAATCTTTGAAATTCTTATGAAAGGGATATTGCAAAAGAGCTGTTTTCAGAGATAATTTAGTTTGCAAATATCTGCAGTCTTAAAATTTAGATTTTTAGGAAAGGAAACAAAAAATAACATACCATCGGCATCTATCCAAGCGTAGGTGCCAACTACAGTGCCGTCTTCAAGTCGTTTTTCTTTTCGATACTGACCACTGTCAGTTTGGTATCGGAAATATCGTTCAGGACCCTCGTCAGTTTGGATGTGATATTGGTGTGGTGAAGGAGTCTCCCATGCTGGTATTTGTGGTGTAAATGTCGAAAACACTACCTGTAAAAAAAGAGGAACATAGAAAAAACAGTTATAATGTGTCTATTACTTAATTAGATAGAACCCGATTCTAGAGTATTCCAATTAAATGTTCTGCCATTTTAAATGAGATCTATAAAGGAAATTACATCTTTCTGTATTGTATAATTAATCATCTAATAGTCTGTATTGAAACAATTAAATTTTTATAAAACTAATTAACAATATATAGTTTTGTATATAAATTTATCAATAAAAATAAACGTAATAGAAGGTGTTTATCCAACAAGTAAAAAAACTTTAACATTATCGTTTAATTGGAGATTTATTATCATTACTAAATGATTTCTTGGTTAATTAAATTTGATTACGGCTAATTTGCATTTGATGGTCGTACATCATTTTTTCCAATTAACGAAATAACAGTGTTTTGTGAGATAAAATTAAATCATTAGTGTATTAATAATAAGTAACCGAGAGTATCGGAAGGACAAAAATGTCAAAACACGCAATTTTCTGTGAGGAATTTGGTAAATAAATAAAAATAAAAAGGACAAGGTTAGCCAATATTTTATTACTATACTCTGTTTTTAAATTGAAAAGTCCTATTTACACAGGGAAAAATAACTAAAAAAGTAACTAGATATCATTTTAGCGGTAAATTTGAATTTGTCTTGTATCATTTCAAGAAAAACATGTTAAAACTTTGTTATGAATGCATTGAAGTCAAAGTTTAGGTAACCAACGAATAGAGATGACACTAAATTGTACTTAATCAGTTTTTTTATTAATAATTGTACTTTAGCTGTAATTAAGTTCTTTCGCTAATTCATCTCATATCGCAGTTCGCACCAGTATGATGGGAAGAGAACCACCAGAGCAGCGACTAAATGTCAGTAAATGTCACCCAATGACACAACAAAATATAAAATATCTGTTTACATTTCCAATTTAAAGTTTTAATTCGAAATTTCATTCATTTTTTTATAAGAAACTGATTAGGAAATTATAAATCTATTAAAATAGGAGAAAAAAAAGTAAATGGTAGGTATTTCAATTTGATGGAAAAATAAAAATTGGTATGTGAGTTTTATTTGTTAGAAATGCAATTAAGCATACCTGTTATTACCTACCTACAAAAAATATTTAAGAGGAACTAAAAAATATGAAGCTAGAGAAGAGCTTATTAAAAATGCAGAATTATGGCAGGTACAAAAAAAAACTGTTTATTTATAGGTATATGTTTATTATTTTATTTGTAACATTTTTTCTCATTAAACTACAAGATTACCATTAGTTGTTTGTAGTAGTTGTAGTTGGTATGGATTTCCTAATTAAATAAAGGTTCTTTTTTCAGGTAAAATGTAGCAAAGTTCTAAAGTATAATATGTGATATGTTTGCAGACAAGTGCATTAAAATCAAATAAATCAAATGGACAAGGATCATCACTATACGAATTTTGTCCCCACTAACAATATGTTATATTCAACAGTGAAAAGTGTAAACTTGTTGGCAACAGCTTTTTAAATGTATGTAGAAGTCCAAGAAAATGTAATGGTACCAGCTTTTACTATAATAATAATGGTTCTTATCAATCTCCTGTTTTGTGTAGGCAGGATTTATAATTGTTGCAATAAATTCTACACTGTGTATCAGAATGTATTTGGTCTTCTCGAAAACATATTTTTATACAATATTAAACAGATGGTATATTTTTTTAAGACATTCTTTAAGTCTTTTGAAAATTAAATGTGTATTTGCAGGTAAAATAAGATAAGTAAAGATTATTAAGGCTCTTTATAAAAAAGGTAATTTGTAACTTTGTTTTAGCAGAAGGATTTCCTACACCAAATTTAAAATATTTTTTTATAACCAAGTAAAAGGTCTTTAGTATGATCGGTAGATTATATTTTCATTATATCAGCACTACATATGTTTCGAAATAAAATGCCATCTTCTTAAACATTAAAAAAACATTTAGGGACATAACAAACACTTTAAATTGATCATGGACGAAACCCATCTTTTTGTTTGTAATAATATGTAGGTGTATGTATTCGAAGTATTAATATTTGATTTAACAAAATTATTAGGGAAACAAAAATAAAAGTTTTTACTGAATTAAACATTAACAGTGGCGGTACAGTATAATTTAAATAGTTTGCAACTAGTTTATTAAATTAAAATAAATGTTAGACAAATCTTTTACACATGTCAGTTTTATTTTTTACAGAGTTTAATATGTGTAAGTGGAGTTATAATCTTTGAAGTCTATTTTATAAACTACATTTAGTTGATTTGCTTTCTGAATTTGGGTTTTAAATTTGAAAATAACGTTTGATTTATGACCATTTTTTACATTATATCTAGAGCACATTTTCGACACTTGTTTGGAAAGTCCATTTACATACACTGAGAGAATTATATTTAAAAAGTTTTTTGTTGAGAAATTTCTTGCTACCACAAATAAATTTTCAGCTACAATGAAAAAAATACATTCATGCAACTAAATAAAATGCTATTTTAAAGTAGTTTTGTCGCCATACAAAAAAAAATTGTTACCTTTGCAAATATTTTTTTTCAGTCTATAGAACCAGCAAAAATAATTTTTGCTCTTAAAAATAGTTTTTAATTACTAAACATTTATTTTCTGTAGTAGAAATTCAAAATATTAATACGTATATTTTTCATCATAACAATTCGCTTTTTAAGTCCAATAAAAAATATCTTTAGAAAATAACGATCGGTTTCGATCGAGAGCTTTTTCGTCTATACTCGAGAAAATTTTCGTGTATTCGGCGTACTCCGTTCAGTACTTTCCCGGTATATCGGCAGACACAGAGAAGAACAAGCCGATGATTGATTTGTGATTTTAGTTATAATTAATAATTACCCTAGCCGCCAGCAAAGGTCATCCACGTTACGTTGGCAAATCGTAGGTCTGACGTTATTTTTGCAATAATTGTGCATAAGTTATGTTCGTTTTCCAATGGATTACACAGAGGAGCTGACTAATTGGAGACTTCAGGATTTTGTTGAAAATTTTAAGGGTAAGTACATAACGTATAATATAAAAGTATTTTATATCTACTAATTTATCGGTTTCAAATGTATTGACCCCTCACATTAACTTTAATTAAGGAAAAAACAGTAGATAAAGCGAAAAATCTTGCAAAGGTTTTCCATTAAGATATTAGAAATTCCTTTTTCTATCTTCATGGAACTTGGAGGCTATTTTGAGTAATGAGGGTTAAATGTTTAAGATTAAAATTATTTGTTCCAGTGACGTTAACAGATATTTTTAACAAAACCATGGGCGAAGTTAAGGGGGGGCTACAATTATGAATAATAATAAGTCTGGCTGATTTACGAAATTGGCTAATGAGTCTGGTAACATCTTCTAAATCAAAAAAATATAATATTTTTGCTTTTATTTTACCGGGTTTAAAAATTTGTCACGTGATAGATTAAATTATAATTTTACACCTCTATTTTATAGCCAATCAAATGCTGTTATTTTAAAATGCTTCCATGACAACCAGAAAAATTTCCGGAAATTTTTCTTTTGGTGGGTACCCTGAACGAAATTATACTTAAAATTTTTTTGACAGTTGAGCAGCTCTTTCATGCATATAATATTACGACGCAACGCAATAGTGTGATTAAAAAATTTGCCATTTCAGTGGTTAATATTTTATTTAATACAAATTATAACTAGGTAGAAATACAGTACATTTATTTTAATAATAATTAGGTTTTTCGCGTCAACTAAACGACTTTAAATATGGCAAATGGTCATGGTATGGCCACAGCATGTAAAACATATGTTTTTTTATTTGATTTTAGTCGTTTTAATGCATATCTGTAAAGTTTTAAAATTTGTATTTTTTGGTGTAAAACTTTCTTACCCAATACCACACGTGCCTAAATTATTATCAGAAATTTTTTGCCCACTTTTGTATGACCGAAGGAGTGGTTACGGTTTCGGCCAACTTTGGCTTTAAATAAGAGTTTCGACTACAGTTTCGGTTTCGCCGGAAAACTGGCCGAAATTGCAGCCGACAACGAAACTACTTTTAAAAGTTTTCGTTTTATAATTGGTTGTGTCCGGCACAATGGCGACTGTGCCGGGTGCCATTCCTACACAGTGCACGTACATACAAACTTATCTGCTTTGTTTCAAGTGAACATGTCAATAAATTTATTAATGGCTTCTTTTGATCACATAAATAAATTGGTAATAAGTAAATGTAGCTAAAATTTATAATACGAGTTAATTAGTCTAAAACAAGAATTACAATAAGATATTGCAAATTTCAATAAGAGATTGCCTTAAAAGAAAGTTCTTGTTTCTGTTTCGGTTTCGGTCGAAACTAAGAAAGGAGCCGAAATTTGGTTTCTGTTTCGGTTATGAAACCGTATTTCGGGATGTTCCACATAAGCCAGATTGTATTTTAAGCTGTTATCATAACTTACATTTTTCTAGTAGTGATAACACTTGGGCATTGCCAACTAAAAGGACACCTTAGTAAACTGAGAGTAGTAGAAGCTAGTGACTGCAGATTCTGTAAGGAGGAGGAAGAAACATTCATTTACATTTTAACTGAATGTGTAGCACTCCAGAATCCAAAGGCACTATACCTAACTTGAAGCCACTCCAAATCCTACAATTCCTTGAGAAGATATAACTGGAAGGGTCGTTATTCGCGATTCAAGCTAAGTGATACGCCCTCTGGAGGAAATTTGTAGAAGGTCCCTATAAGTAGGATATCGTTCAGTGTTGCCAAAACTAGCAAAATTTCGCTACGTCGTCGGATTTTAGCTCTTGAAGAAGTGGACAAGATCTTTTATTTAAGAATCAAAATTTGTGTATAATAATATGTAATCATACTGTTTATTTATTTAAGGATTTTTTTATTAAACCGATTTATTATATTGATTTTTTAAATTTCAGTTCATTTATTAATTTTGTATTAAAATCAGTTCATCATTTGGCAATATTGGCGTTTATTGTTTACCT